CCTCGCTGCCTTTTGTGGCCCCTTTGCTGCCCTCAGTGGCCTCGCTGTCGCCCAGTGTGGCCCCGTATACGAATGCCCTTCGTGGCCCCCGCTCGCTCGCGCCCGTCGTGGCCCCATATGCATGCCCTTCGTGGCCCCGCTGTCGCCCGTTGTGGCCCCCTCGCTGCCCTTCGTGGCCCCGGTGCTGCCCTTAGCGGCCCGTCGCTGCCCTCTGTGGCCTCGGATATTATGCCCTTCATGGCCCACGCTGGCTTTTCTCACGATTTACTTAGGAATCGCGCTATCGCTCGAGATTTCCTCGCGATTCATGCAGGACCCACGCTTCAGCAACCCGCTTGCTCGACCTCGTCGCTTGGGCCCGCCTTCCCGACCTGCCCGCTATGGCTTTGCCCGCCCGGTCTGCCCGTCTGGTTCTACCACTTGTTTCCTGCACCTTGCCCCTCTCCTGCTAATTTCTCTCGTGCTCCATTATTACCCCCCCCTTCCACCCGTCCTCTCTTCCCTTGTTTTAGGGGCTACACTAAATACACGTGGCAGGTAAGGAAGATACACCCCCAAGGGAGTACGATCGAAGACGACGAGGGCGGGTACCGAGGGTCTGGGATATTCGTATTGATTAGCATGTGTGCAGATAAGAGCGAACAGTCTTAAACTGATGTTAGTCGTAGTAGTAGTAGTAGTAGTAGTAGTAGTAGTAGTAGTAGTAGTAGTAGTAGTAGTAGTAGTAGTAGTAGTAGTAGTAGTAGTAGTAGTAGGTAGTAGTAGTAGTAGTAGTAGTAGTAGTAGTAGTAGTAGTAGTAGTAGTAGTAGTAGTAGTAGTAGTAGTAGTAGTAGTAGTAGTAGGTAGTAGTAGTAGTAGTAGTAGTAGTAGTAGTAGTAGTAGTAGTAGTAGTAGTAGTAGTAGTAGTAGTAGTAGTAGTAGTAGTAGTAGTAGTAGTAGTAGTAGTAGTAGTAATAGTAATAGTAGTAGTCGTTGTGGTGGTTGTTGTTGTTGTTGTTGTTGTTGCTATTGTTGTTGTTTTTGTTTTGTTGTTGTTGTTGTTTCCGTTGTTCGTTGTTTGTTATTTGTTGTTGCTGTTGGGGCGGCTGAGCCCAACCTTCTTTGTCCGCCTTCCTAATGCATGTTTCCACATACTTATTCCGGTTGGCGGGTACCTTTTTTTTGTTCTTGTGGTCAGACCGGTGAGCGTGGATCTCTCACAAGCCAGGGCTTTGCCTGAACAGCAGGCCAACAGGGTTTTCAAGGTGGGGATTCTTCTCTGTGGGTGGAAAATAATACTGTGTGGGGGCCGGTGGGGAGGGGGGTTGGGGCGGGAGGCTGTTTTGCAGCATCGGTATTGCATCACGGGTTTAAACCAGTCCTCTGCCCTCCCCTCCCGCTCTCGTTCTCGCGCTTCCTCCCACCTGGCTGCGAGGCGAACATCTCCGGCGTCTCCATCGTGCACTACGGTGAAGTCATTCCCCGTGAGAACCGTGAGAAGATGACACACGACGTCTGCTTCCGTTTCTGCCGGACAGCGCTTTCTTTTCTCGTATGCCTCAGATCCTGGGCGCCGTGACGAAAATATGCGCCGGGCATTCCGGCCTGGGAATATCCACACAGACCGGGTCAGCTCTAGTCGTGTTTCCACTGCGTTATGTTTTTCTCGACGTTGGACCTCTGGGTGTTCGTCCACCTGTTCGGCGGTCTGCCTTTGTGCAATGGCGCCTTTGTTCCCGAGGCCTAGAAACCTGCACCAACAATGTCAGAGGTAGCCCTCTGCCAGCAGGGAAGTCGCTGATCTATTCTGGTTCCGGCGATAATCCTCAGGCCGCCCGTCGATGTCTTGGTGTTGGTGACGACATCTAGTCCTCCGACATCATCCTCTCCTGTTCGTGCGTTTCCTCCTGCCGCCACATTTTCTCGAGGCCCTTCTTCCCCGCTGGTGGTCCTCCCTCCTCCCCGTCAGTGCCTTCCCCCCTTCCCCCCTCTCCCCCCTCCTCCATCCTCTGGATCCTATGGTGGGGGATGTTCTGGAGGTGTGTAAAGGATTTTGCGCCAACGATGCGTCGTGCAAGTGTCTCCTGAAACGACAGGTCCATGGGAAGATCGATGAAATCGATGAAGATGGCGACATGAAGGCTGCCTTCCCGAGCCTAGTGAAGAACCGTCTCCAGCGATGGTTTGGCTCGCGTTGGGTCTGTCATCAACGAGAAAAGAAGCCAGACATGTGAGTCCAACATTTGTCAGGCGAGGAAAAACACACACACAGACACAATTAATCCTCGATTCCCCAGAAAATATAAGAAAATATGGGAAGTGGGGGGGAAGACAGAAACCCAGGAAATATGCGAAAATATGGGGAATCTTTTTATTTGTGTGTATTTATTTGTGTGTCCTGGGGCCCCTTCAATTTGGCAGTCCTAAGAGGCTTCTTCTGCAAGGGAGAAGTGCAGAGAGCGGTCGACAGTCCAGCGCTGGATGCGAGCCCACGCAGTGCGACCTCCAAGAGCTATTGCAGTGCAGTCGGATCCGCCCCCTTCCGACCCCCTGCGAGACAATGTCGCATGACCTGTGGGAGAACGGATCTTTTTGTATCGGCATCTGAGGGGCCATGCCCCCCCCCCAGCTGCGCTCTCAACAGGGCTGCGCGGTAGCGCGCACTGCAGCGTCTCTCTCTCTCTCTTGCTTTCTCTTTCTCTCTCTCTCTCTCTCTTCCTCTTTTGCCCCCCCCCCCCTCTCTCTCTCGCTCTCGCTCTCGCTCTCGCTCTCGCTCTCGCTCGCTCTCTCTCTCTCTCTCGTCTCCGTCCTCTCTCGTCCGTCTTCCTCGCCTCCTCCTCCTCCTCCTCCTCGTCCTCCTCCTGCTCCCTCCTCACCCCCCCTCCCTCCTCATCCGTCCTCGCTTCTCTTGCTTCGTCTCCTCGCTCCTCCTGCTCTTCGTCGCTCCTCTTCGCTCGTGCTTCTGCTCCGCCTTTTTCTCCCTCGTTCCGTCCTTCACTCCTTTTCTTTCCCTCTCTCCCTCGCCTCCTCGCTTTCCCTCCTGCTCAGCCTCTCACTCCCTCCCTTCTTCCCTTCCCTCCTTCCCTCTCACCTCCCTCTTGTCCTCCTCGTCCCCCCTCGTCCCTCCTCGGCTCTGCTCAGGATGCGTTCGGGAATGGGATCGTGCGGGCGAGTGGGGCGGTGACGGTGTTGGGTGTTGAGCTTCATGAGAGTCACTGCTTCCACTTTTGGCCTGCAAGTTCACTCTACTTCGGCTCTGTGTGTGGCCGAACGGCCACCGTGGTTCCCAGGCAGTTAATTCAGGAGTTTGCACCGAACGCTCCAAGAAGGGGCTGGATAATCTCCAGAGAGTTAGACGGGGGCTGTTGCCAGGCTGCACGAGTCCAGCGGCCGCCCGTTTTGCAGGCCGTCACCTGCCGTGTTCGGCGCGACCAGGCGCGTCGGATTGTTCCAGGTGCCTTGTTGGCTCGTAGGCCACGCGTACTGGCGCCCAGGACACTCCAGGACACACCCCTCGTCCCTCCTCCTCTCCCTCCCTCTATATCCTCGCTCCTGCTCCTGCTTCTTGCTCCCCCTCGCTCCTCGTCCTGTCCTCTTACCCTCGGTCCCCGCGCTGCCGCCCTCCTCGTTCCGCCGCCCCTCCGCCCGCGCGCCCTCTGCACGCCCCGCCCGTCCTCGCCCCTTCCCGGCCTCTGCCCCGCCGCCCCAGCTACCGTTCTCGGCGATCGCCGCTCCAGCTCCCACCCGTTCCCCTTCCCCCTCCTGCCTGGTGGGACGAGGGGGGAAGGAGGAGGAAGAGGCAGAGGCAGAGGCAGAGGAAGAGGAAGAGGAAGAGGAAGAGGAGGGAGGAGGAGGGAGGAGGAGGGAGGAAAGGGAGGAGGAGGAGGAGGAGGAGGAGGAGGAGGAGGAGGAGGAGGAGGAGGGAGGAGGAGGCGGAGGCGGAGGCGGAGGCGGAGGAGGAGGAGGGAGGAGGCGGAGGAGGAGAGCAGGAGGAGGAGGAGGAGGAGGAGGAGGGAGGGAGGAGGAGGGAGGGAGGGAGGAGGAGAGGAGGGGGGGGGGGGGGAGGGAGGGGAGGAGGAAGAGGAGAAGAGCCAGAGTAAACCCACGATGCGGCAGGGACGCCGCAATGCACCCTTCCGTCCCCAGCCTCCTCTTCATCAGTCAATACAAGCGTTACTTTTCACTCGCCAGGATCAGGACCAGCAGCAGCAACTGGAGGAAGAGGATACGGCGCAGGACGACGATCTGGATGATGATGTGTTGGAGGAGGAGGATGGAAGGACGGAAGGGGAGGAAAGGTGGAGGATATACGGAGGAAAACGAGGAGGAACAGGGGCAATGAAAGAGGGATGTATGGAGGAAGGTGGTGGGCAGGACCATCCCGGATATGATGTTCTTTGGCATCAAGAACGGCTCCCCCGCCGCCTGCCTCTCCTGCCTCCTGCAAACGATGCATCGCAGTGCTGATGAGAAGGATGAAGACGAAGCTGAGGATGCTGATGATGATGATGCTGATGATGATGGTGATGATGCTGACGATGATGAGGATGCTGATGATGAGGATGATGATTGTCGTGGTGGTGCTGATGATGATGATGCTGACGATGATGCCGATGATGGTTCAGGTGATGATGATTCTGCTAGTGATGTTGATGGCGATGCTGCTGCTGTTGATGGTGATGTTGATGATGATGATGCTGCTGCTGATTATGATGATGATGACGATGCTGATGATGATGATGCTGATGATGATGATGATGGTGATACTGATGCTGATGCTGCTGCTGCTGCTGCTGATGATGATGATGATGATGATGTTGATGATTCTGCCGCTGCTGATGATGCTGATGCTGATGCTGATGCTGATGCTGATGCTGTTGCTGCTGCTGCTGCTGATGATGATGACGATGATGCTGATGAGGATGATGATGATGATGATGATGATGATGATGATGATGATGATGATGATGATGATGATGATGATGATGATGATGATGATGATGATGATGATGCTGATGCTGATGATGATGATGATGCTGATGCTGATGATGATGATGATGATGATGATGATGATGATGATGATGATGATGATGATGATGATGATGCTGATGCTGATGCTGATGCTGATGCTGATGCTGATGCTGATGCTGCTGATGATGCTGATGCTGATGATGATGATGATGATGATGATTCTGATGATGTGTTTCTCGACGATTGAGCCCAGTGCCACTGGAACGGATGAGGTACACGTATGGCGAGCTGTCGCAGGACCGTCATTGTCCCATATTCGGGTCCACCACGCAGGCCTGGGGCGAGCGCTACCCGCGCACCAACGCGGGGAGCTGCAGAGGCATGCCTCGGTAACTGGTTACTTCACGAAAGCTGTGTCACATTCACCCCGTGCATCCGTGCAACGATGCAAAGCATAGCAGAGCTGGAGCTATTTACCCACGAGAAAAACTCACACGTGAGAGGGTGGTGCAATGTGGCCCCGCTAGCTGAAGAGGTATGCCGCCGACTCTTCATCTGCCTCAAGACATTGCTCGTGCGCAGGTTCGCGCACAGAAGAGGAGGAGGACGAGACAGGGCGGGAGGCGCGCTGCACCGTGCTACCCACGGTCTCCCCGCGCACAAAAAGGATCGGGCGTCGGCACGGCCCATTCAGCTCTTCTGTAGCACGTCCAGCCAGGTCGCGACCTCGTCCTCTAGCCAGCCCGCTGGCATCACGCCAGTGAACCTCGTCGCGCGGCCCTCTGCCTTGAAGGCGTGGGTCACTGTGCCGCGGAGCGGCCAGTGGGGTGCCGCGACGAGCAGCTTGGCCTTGCTCTCGTCGTGGGGCCTGCTCGATCTCGATGGCCTGCACGTCCAGCTCCAGCTGCCCGCGGCTCGCGCTCGGCTCGCCCGACGCTGGCTCGATCTTGTCGAGGCAGTCGCGGAGCTGCTGGCGCATCTGGCCGCCCACGTCGCAGGTGGACAGCGCGACTTGACCAGCGTGACCGCCAAGGAGGCGGTCGGCCTGCCAGCCGCGCGGAGCTGGTCTGCTCCCGCCTCTCGTGCTGCCTGTACTTGCCTCCTGTAGTCGTCCAGCGCCTGCTGGAGCTTGATGATGACCGGGTGATCTTTCGGCATTGTGAACGTATTCGCCACCGTCGCCATCGTCAGGCGCTGCCGTTGCGCCGTCTGGAGTGAAAGCTTGGCTATCGCGGCCGAGCACTGCTGAACATTCGCATCCTTGCTCGTCCACATCTTCTCCGTGTGGCCTCCGCGTCGGTGTCGGCGACCGCCGCGATGGCGCCCCTTGCCGTTGCCGCCCTTCCCGTCGACCTTGCTCGCGAGCACCATCGCCAGCACTCCTCCACGCCCTCCATCGCCGCGTCCCCGTCCTTGCCTGCCCTTCTTGAGGTCGGGAGGCTTTGAGGCGTCGCCAGAGGTCCCAGACGCCCGGGAGGATGCCGCTGGGGCAGGGGTTCTCCACGTCGCCCTCGGCCGTGGAGGGGGAGGCTCGCCGACGCTGCCCGTCGCCGACGCCGCCGCCGCGCTGCCCGCCATCTTGTTCAGGTTGTACCTGAAGTTCAGGATGCGCTTGCCGAGGTCGTAGTAGAGGAGTACTCGCGGCTGTCGCCCGCGATGCTGTCGCTGTAGCTGGCCACGGAGAAGATTCTGGTGGAGGTCGACCTGCTGCTCGTCGTCGAGCTGGTGGTCCCTCTCGTGCCTGCCGCCGCGCACGACGCCCTTCAGCCAGCCGAAGGCATGCTGCACGCAGCTGCTCACGAAGGCCAGGGGTGTCGTCCAGGTCGCCGAGGTCCGGCGGTGGCTCGACCGGCCTGGTAATGCCGACACGGGCGCGGGCACCGCGGGCTGGCTGAGCCCGTGCAGCTTTAAGCCGAAGCCCTGCGGACGTGGGTGGGACGTGCGTTGCCAGATGTGTCCAAAGCTCTGCTGGGTCATCGTAATGTTCCTGACACCCTGGGCGGCCCGTCTCATCGGCCAGCGGGCAGTGTGTTTCAGAAGACTGGGTCAATTCGTATCCGTGGCGAGTAAGGTTCGGGATGCACCTGCCTGCTCTCCATGCGCCACTGAGATGTCTCCGTGTGTGATCCACGTTGCCGAACATTGTCTGACAGCTGAGGCACTTGTTATCGAGCGTGATGACCGACAAGATCGGAGGGGTGCCGTGCCCAGGGAGTGCCGTGGCAAGCATTTGGTGTTTGACGAGCTCCCTGTTGGTGGCGGAACGTGCTCGGCAGCTCTCGATCCCGCACAGTGGTGGTGCAATCTCGGCTCGTCGCTCTCCGTGTCTCCCACCTCCTCCCCCTCCTCCGGCAGTCGACCCTGCAGGTGCTCGGGGCCCACTCGCGGGCCAGAGTCGTCGTCCCCATCGCTAGAAGTTCGAAATATCTGAAAGCCTCGGTGACCTCGGGGTTCGCCCAAAAAAAATTGGCCATGCTGCGGGGTTGCCAAACCTCTTTGAACTCCTCTCCAATCGGGTGGGCCAGGGCCGCGTGCAAGTCCTGGTAAAACTGCAGGGCCCATGGGTGGACGTGCTGAGACGGGTTGAGCTCCCCCGTCGGCAAGACGGTGACATCTGCAACCTCATTCCCCGCTTCTCTGGCACGTCGCTCGAATCGGCACTCTCCGAAAAAATACTCAGGTAATGTCGGTGGTGTTCGGGGTTCCCTGCAATGGACTGCCACCATCTCCAACGACGTATCACCAGCTCGATGCCACTCGGGGGGATTTGCCATTCCTCGAATACCTGCTTTGGCGTCCAAGATGTGTGCGTGCCGTCCTCGGGCTCAACATGCGCGCACCCGTGCAACATAGCTCGCATCTCCTTGGCTAGTGACGTGTCGATCTCCTTAAGCTCGTTCGGGGAAAGTACGTACGCCTCAAGACCCGCCCACACTCGTCCTGTTACATTCGCTAAAGATGTACTGCGCATGCTCCTCTAGGACCCCGAAGAGAAGCAATACTGCTTAAGACTGATCCACCCAATAGACCCTGCGCTAATACGTGTCCTGATCTCCCTACTGTTGCTGCCCTGCACATGGATAAACCCGCCCAGATGGATAAGGTTAGTTAGCCGTTTCCAGGTGGACGAGGGTTTCCTGTTTGTCGACGTGTTGGGCGTAGCCGCCCTCCTGAATGCAACGATCTAGAATGCGATTGTCCAAATAGTCTAGCTGCAACGCTTCTTTCACCGTGCCCGTGGGTATGATCATCACTCTAACCAGGTCGTCAATGCATCCGCCGAAAGAGGAACTGTCTACTTGATCGTGTATGGGTACCTGGCACATCCACGCATCACCGACAATCGTGTTCAACTCTCTCTGCCACATGCTAATGAGGGGGTAGAAGGCTTCCATGAACAGCTCGGGCTCATTAGAGTCTCCAATTCTGCCCCCCGTGGTAGGGTGTAAGCTAACATCACCATCACGTGTCTGATAGTATAAGATGCCCGTGTTCCGGTGGTGCGTCAACAGCTCGTCATAGTATTCATCCACCCATCGTGACCTGTGTGCGTTGAACAGGCGCTCGTGCGTGCCCGTGCCGAAAGCGTTGCACACATCATACGACTTGACCAGACAGTAATGATGACACCGTCGTACTTACTACATGATACGTTCGATGATGGTCATGAATCCCTCTTCCTATGTATGATGCCGCCGTACGCCCAGGGATGGGGGTCCAACCGACTGCCGAAATCAACAAGCCCAACACGTAACAGTACTCGCCACCAATGGCAGAAGCAATGCAATATGCGCAAGCATTTCGTGATGTCTGTGATGGCGTTGCCTGTCGGGGTTTTGCCTGGCTTACTTATGGCAATGGCATGACCCGCGCGCGCGTGCTGTGGAAGAAGCTCCCGTGCTCGTATGTGTGCAAGAAGCTGTACGAACATGTCACGACCCACGACCCGCCTGTGCGTGCTCCGAGTCAAAGACGACCGTCCTCCGAGCGCGGGCCGAGACAGTCAATGCCTCGAAATCCAGCAGGTCGGGGTCATGCCGTCTCCGTGTGGAACCTGTGCCTTCCTCGGAGTGCCCAGGGCGCATGACCCGCCTGTGCGTGCTCTGAGTCAATGACGACCGTCCTCCGAGCGCGGGCCGAGACAGTCGATGCCTCGAAATCCAGCAGGTCGGGGTCGTGCCCAGGGCGGAACAGCAGGGCAGGGAACGGCAGCAGCTCAGAGATCTCAACCGGCCACGACCACGGGGGTGCATATCTACGATGGGTGCTGTGCAAGATCCTTCTCTTGACCAACTGAAGGTCCTCGCCAACCCTTTCGAGGTCTTCCGTGGTCGGGAGGGGATGTCGGGGTCCGTAAGCTGGGAAGTCCTCGAGGGGGGTCTCCAGGCGCTGAACGGCCTCTGAGGTCATGTATTTGCTCATGTGAGCATTCGTCGTCTTC